AATCAAAGTGATTCACTTGTGTGTTTCATTCCAAATTCCTAATCCTATATCTTAAGAGTGGTTCTCTTGAGTGTGAGTTTTAGGTTCTAGTTATTTAAGTAAGTGTGTAATATCTTATTTAAATGCTAGATTCAACCCCAAGTTAAGATAAGGGTGTGTAATATCCCTTAACACCAATTTGGTTTGTTTTTCTTTCCAAAGAAGTACCTTGTTCCTGTCTCGAGCTGTCAAATAATCGATTATCCCCACTGGAAATCGATTATCTATCCTTCGTGAAACACCTGCAGCCCTCAATAGTCGATTATCAGTCTCCAATAATCGATTATCAGCCTTTCCCAAAAAAAACCTGCCATCCTCAATAATCGATTGACACCTCCTGTAAATCGATTATCTCCCCTCCCAGAAAATCCCCAGAAAATTGCCCCCAGAAACTGAAGCCCCTGATAATCGATTATCCACTTTGGACAATCGATTATTTCTTCCCTATTCTTAACAAGATAGTTCCTTTAAAAACCTGAGCTTGGGTACAACACCCCGCAGTAATTTTTTACTAAATTTCTTTTCATTTTTCAATAATATTCTTTAATTATCTATTATTCCAACCACTCTATTATTTTTGAAATATGAGAGAATGGAATGAATACTAAGAAAACTAAGTTTGTGAGACGTGATGAATTGAAAGTATTAAAAATTGTTACAAGTAATTCAAATATTTACATAAAAAAACTTTGATGTTATAATGGAAATGAAAGTATTAAACAAAAAAACACATATTCTCTATATATTTACATATGATTTCTTTGAAAGTATTTCGAATCTCCTAAATTTTTGATGGACACTCAACACATATTTAATATTTTTTGTAAAATTGAACCGAATGGACACTAATCTTCCGTCTGATTTTTGGTTTTGTATAAAAATCAAACCAAAAACCTAAACCCAAACCTACATATTGTTATTCCTTCATCAGGTTAGTATTTTTACAATTTTTAATGCTTATAAATCTTTATTTTTATAAACTAAAAAATTGAAATAAAAACCACATAAAACCGAACCGAATAACCAACGGTTTACATATTTTTATGTAAAACCGAACCGCTAACTTATCTTCCGTTTTGTCTTTGATTTTGGGTGAAAAGCGAACTGCCAAAATCGATTCCACGGTTTCCACCCCTACTTTAACCACATCTTTTCACTCTTCTTAATAATCGTACTGGTTCCATTGTACTCCGTATAACTTTTTTAATGGGACAAAGAAAGTAGCTATTTAAATATCCTTTGTCCCAAAATAAATTTTTATTTTTATTTTTTGTTCGTTAAAAAAATAAATATCTCACTACTTTTAGAGTAAGTAATTAGTGGTCTATTTTATTTATCATTTGTTTAAATCTCAAAACCACAGTTTCAGTGTTTCTTAATATTTTTGGAGTAAAAATGGATAATTAGATTTGGGGATATAACATCATATCAAAAAACTAATTCAACCAAAAGTTTAAATTTGTAGTTGAAGGTGTAAAATACTGGATATGACTCAAACAAAGCAAAACACATTGAAAATAATATTGGAAGGGTTGTAGGTGGGAACACTTGTAACCCGATTGTTATATATCACTTGGTATTTATTACATTTCTGCCTCAGTAGTGTGGTTTCTCGCTCTAAGTTGCCTCCCCTAGTTTAGAGGGTTTTCTCAAGTATTTATAGGAACCAAAAGAATATTATTCAGGCCCATTGTAGTCATCCCTTGTAATTCTTACTGTAGCCATATGTGTCAGATTAAACTTTGTGATGCAGAGTAGGAGGCATGGACATATTCTACTAGTCACATCGCCCCACTTGTGCTGTCAAATTTAAGTGGCGCCCTGATTGATGGATTCCCTACTGGCAAACCCTTTACACTTAATGTTTTGTTGTCGCCAAGCTCAGGTCCCCAGGCCTATTTTAACTGACTTGTCATAAAGATATGGCATGTTTTGAAAGTTGTCTACCTAGTCATCTAGGTTATGAGCTATAAGCCCAGCTAGACCAGGTGGTCATGGGTTTATACCCATCAAGGACTCCTCCGCTCTCGGCCTAGTGGGGAACATCAAGGACCAAAAGTTCAAATCGGTTTCTTGTGAGATCCCGCCTGGCCTGAGTTTTTCAAATTTTGAAATTTATAGCTTAATGGGCTGGACGACTTCCGAACTTCCTCGGCCCACCTTCTCTTTAGTCGTTGAATTACCTAGTTAAACGCTTCTAGAGGCGCCGTCACATTAACCGTCGCGTCGCTTCATCTTTCTAGATAATGATGATTATCCACCATTGCTCTTGCCACATGTTCCACATTGATTGGATACTAGGAGTTGCATGTCTCCTATATTAGAAGTGGCCCCCCTTCATTTCGTCACTTTGTCTTCAAGCTTTTCGAGATCTAACTGCGTGCATTTGAATCTCCTAGTCCTCCGATCCGAGTTCTCCAAGTAAGCTCTCTCTCTCTCTCTCTCTTCTAGCCCATAGTTTAATTAGCCTAAATCATGTCTGAGAGTGAAGATAACCAAAACATATCTGCTCATTCTTATGCCTCCAGTTCTGTACCCTCTTCATCTAACTCCCCCTCTCAATTCCAATAATAGACTGGTCACTCCCATCAATAGGGTGTCGTGGCTGGAACCCATAAATATGAAGCGACGCGACAGTTAATGTGACCACTCTATTGCAAACATCACGTCTCGCATAACCAAGGAGCACGTACACGAACTCTGAAACCTCCTACCAGATGGCTACATGTTGTACTTCAAAAGCTCCCGAGAGAGTATCATTCATCTACATTCAGGCACTGCCCTAGACTTCCATTACCACTCGATCAAATACTTAGGCGAGTTTTCCCTCCATCCTTTCAAGACCTTACTCTGCAAGGCCTACAGTATTATGTCCAGGCAACTAACGCCTAAAAATCATCGTAGGCTTATTAGCTTCATAAATGTTTGTTGATTCAACCTGATTCCCCTTTCCTTGCGTCTTTTTGACCATATGTTCAGCATACGGATCGACTCCAAAGATTGCCTAGGATTCGTAGTCATTTAGGTCCATCAGAACTGGGCTTTTCTATCTGGCATCCCTCATTTCAACAAAGAGTAGAGGCACTATGTGGCCATCATGTTTCCTCCTAAGGACTTTCCCTTCTCCAATCCTATGTGGAGCGATCGTCTTAAGGTTGAGGTCAAACTAGGTTCTTCCTCCGATTTGACCAGCTGGGAAGCCACCCTCCGAGCACGTGACCCTGTGATCAAAGGACCTTACAATGTGGGCAAGTGGTGCGTTTAACCCGGCTAGGCCTCCGACCCCAAAGCCAAGATCACTTATGAGACAGACCAGATCCCAGTCGCGATCCCGCTTAGCCATGTGCCCATTCAGCAGGAGGTCCCATAAGCGGATGGAGTTGGGCCGTCAACTCCAGGTCCATCACTTTCCCATAACTTGTACAATAAACACAACCTTCTTTGCCTATTTATCCGCTAACTTTTACTTTTTCCCGTGCAGTAATGAAGTTCTAGTCAATGTATAAAGTCCCCTGTCGCGCCTTGGAAGAGGCCCAAGAGCCCC